CGTCACCAGTACCCTCGTCCTGCTGCTGCCAATACTGCTCCGTGCCTGAAACGTTGCATAACAACGTCCATAAGCTACGTGCTTAGTGAGTACTTCGGGTTAGACCCGAAGATCATACTCAAATTGCAAATGGCCAAACACAATCAATAGTATGCACACGGTACATATAGGTGTATACATATATATACACACTCCATGCCATCAAACATCGTTCACTCAATCGCACAAATAATTCACTTATCACACACATTCAGTCCAAATGACAAGTCATCGGACTTAACCGTCAAATCATCTCTATGTGCATCGCACACATAGGATCCCGCAAAGATCTGGTCTCACCAGTCCAGGACATATGTACACGAGTCATAACTCGACCCATCGGGTCTCTCAGTAATAACCGTACCATCAAATCATCTCCACGTGTGCATCACACACGTGGGTAAGGACGCTCCATGTGCAACGCACATCCCCCGCTCTCCTCGGCAATCGCCGGAACAATAAAACACGCCATCCAAATCCCTACTCCATAAAACATAATACATCAACCATCCCCTCTGACATCGATGTCACCTCTCGATGCCAGAGCGCCAGGTGCCTCCTCCAGGCCACCACCGACTATGTCGAGCGAAGTCAGTACACAACTGACAACCTCTCGCCGGCCGTCCGCCACGGAGAAACTCATCGGACCCGAGCTCAGGTCTTTCTGAGTTCCTTCGCATAACCTCGTCGGGAGAATCGCTCAATCCCGAGTCACGGGTAAATGTATTGCCAGTCTCTGCCGGGAGAATCACTCAATCCCGATCCCGTTCCATAGCTAGTGGAACGTTGGCGCGGTTACTGTGTAACCGTAGGATTTCCTCAACCCCGTGATAGCCGAATCACTCAAGACTATCACGTGTATCATCGGCTCCAAGCTCTGCCCGTGGGCAACCAATCACAATCATGTCTCCTCAATATGAAACCCGACCCGGGTCAGAGATCATAAAGAGGAGATCCCAACAATACAACCATCGGGATATCACCTCAAACCCGCTATAATCACACGCTCAACCTTATCCCGGCCCTCCGGAATAAAGTCTCACGCCATGCCAACTACCCGGTTCCCCAATCACACACATTCATATATTATTATACCTACTCGGGTATACACACGTCCTTACTTGTTATTTTGG